GCCACAGCACAGCTGGCACGCAGAGCCCTCTCTGTGGGCACGCGAGCCAGAAGTTGCTGGATCGCTACTCCCCCTCTGCACAGCCATGGTGTTGGCGCTTCAACAGGTGGATCCAGAGCAGCTGGTGCTGGAGGTGGATCCAGAGTGAGGTCTCAAGGCACCTCTGTGGCCAGGATGCTCCCTACCACTGCCACCTCCGGTTCTGCCGCTGCCATGGCATGCCAGCCCTCTCTGTGGGCACGCGAGCCAGAAGTTGCTGGATCGCTACTCCCCCTCTGCACAGCCATGGTGTTGGCGCTTCAACAGGTGGATCCAGAGCAGCTGGTGCTGGAGGTGGATCCAGAGTGAGGTCTCAAGGCACCTCTGTGGCCAGGATGCTCCCTACCACTGCCACCTCCGGTTCTGCCGCTGCCATGGCATGCCTTGTGCTGGGTTTTTGGGTTTTTTGGGCACATGAGCCCAAAAAGGTTTGCCACCGCAGGTCTAATGTCTCAAATTGCCCAATGTGCCTTGCTCTCCCACCATAAATTGCTCCCTGCCTGATTGCCTTCAGCCACCCTGCTTTTTGCTTCCTTGTCCCATCACTCACCCCTCCCAGGCCAATCATGATCACGCCCACCTCTTTGGGTAACCGGCAGAGGTGCCAGGTGATAGGGAGGTGGCGGCAGCAACAAGAGCACAGGAAAAGGGGAAGGAAGAAGGGATAAATAAGTGCAGGCAACCCAAGAGGAAGGGAAGACACAGCCAGTCCAGTGTAGAGTTGGAGGAGCAAAGAGCTATCTTTCAGAAAAAAATGAATCAGAGGCACAAATCTTCATGGATCCACATGATTTTTATGTAGGATCATCCCCCAATCTTCATCATAGGAACCATCTCTGCCCACAGATTAGACAGTGGTTTGGAAACAATCCCATGTTAAAATCCATGCTTGGATCAGTGTTTTTGCACCACTGTAAAGCCAGGCAACCCCCCCCCCCCAAATCTGTGGATACAAATGAGTGCCCTGCCCCCCCGCGCACAGACCCCACCCCAAATTGGTCTGCAACTCAGAAAACGTTGGGGACCACTGCTCTACAGTACAGCTTAAATTGTATTAAAAGTTTTCCCAAGAGGTGCAGTATAAAAATGCAAAGCCATAACCACTATCTCAAGGAGATGCAGACATATACCATGTGACTGTCACATGACTTTCAAATTGCAGCAAGACACTCCTATCTATATCCTGTGATTTATCAGTAGTAGATAAGCCCCAAATCCACCATTTCCCTGATGTTCCTCTGATGACACACAAGGCTTTTTTGTGCAGGCAGGCCTTTATCAGCAAGCTGATTGCTAAGTATCCCACCTTTTGAGGGTAGAAGTCTTTCTACTAATAATTTGTACTTATTTTATCTGAGTGGTTTTAAAGAGGTTTTTAACTGCATTGTTTTAAATTATGTTTTAATATTTATAATCTATTGTTTTAAGTATATTTTTAAAACAATGCTGTAAACCACTTTGATTTCTAGTTTCTGGAAGAAAGGCAGGATATGAATCAAATACATAAATAAAGATATATATTCTGTAAATAAGTAGGCTGACAGTAGGAAACAAGAGTTTACATAATGCTGTCCATTTCTCAGAATATGTTGACACTTTCCTACTGTATATTTTGGAAATTAAATGTACAGTATTTTTTTCCTGAATGTCATCAACATGTAGGCCTAATTTTTTCTTCTTCAAAGCTACTGTTCTTCAGTCCATGGACTGCTCTGTTAATTATTTCGCTCTTCTTTTTTTCTGCTGTTAAGCTTCATTCTGACTTGGACAAGGGAGTGGGAAGTGTTAAGTATACATTATCAGGAGACGGAGCTGGGACTGTGTTTACCATTGACGAGACCACAGGGGACATTCATGCCATAAGGAGCCTTGATCGTGAAGAGAAGCCTTTCTACACTCTGCGTGCTCAAGCAGTGGACATAGAAACGAGGAAGCCACTGGAGCCGGAATCAGAGTTCATCATCAAAGTGCAGGACATTAATGATAATGAGCCAAAATTCCTTGATGGGCCTTATGTTGCCAGTGTCCCTGAAATGTCTCCAGTAGGTGAGTAAGACTTTGAACCACTCTTGTCACTTTTTGGACTTTTAAACATTTGACTGTAGAAATTAAAATATGACATCTGAAAAGAAGAGCAGTGCCTATGTTGTTGCAGAGGAGTATTTTCCACGTGATTGACATTACCTAAAGAATGACCTCCGGAGCATAGCGGATCACTGCTTATAGAACACATTTTATATAGGAGATTCTGTTTAAGTGGTCTGTCACCATGTGAATGAAGTGACCCTGGTCCCTGAGGTGTCCATGTTTGTGATAGGTCTTCATTGTAGCAGAGGTGGCTGTTGCATATATGGGGAGGGGGAGACCTCCACTCAAACATAACCCAATAGTGGCCCCACGAACTGCCAAGGTAATTACACGGGGTAACTCCCCTGTGGACCCGATGTATTTTAAGGGGCTACATTTCTGCTTCATTTTCAATATGATACCTAGATGCTCTTTCATTGTGTTAGTGAGCTCTGTGTCACCATGTTAGGTAAGCATTTCTGTGACTAGCATTTGGGATGTAAAATGCACCTTTGTCCCTGGGGAGTTTCAAGTTTGTTTTCCCAGGATAGTTGATAACAATACATATCCATCACTGGTGGTTTATATGCTAATGCTATCACCAGTTCATACAGTGGGCATGAAAAACCTAAAAGCCTGCAAATGTGTAATACTGTATTCTACAGTAAAAACTTCCACTATGAGATTACAACTTCCTTCCTTCCTTCCTTCCTTCCTTCCTTCCTTCCTTCCTTCCTTCTACAACTTCCTTCCTTCCTTCCTTCCTTCCTTCCTTCCTTCCTTCCTTCCTTCCTTCCTTCCTTCCTTCCTTCCTTGTCATTCTCTAGTTTGTGACTGAGTTCACTGCATGAGTATCAAATGGGGTGGGAGCTAATTAGATGTGATAGAAAGAGGTCTGTCACCAGCTATATGCTGTGCCTTAGAAACCCAATAACAGCTGCAAAGGGAGAAATTCTATTGGGGATCACATCTCTGAGTGAAGGGGATTTAATTCTTTCAGCTGTCATTTTCCTGGTTGTAATATCCTCCCCCCATCCTGAAAAATTGTCTTTTACTCTATGGAGAAAACCAACCATGGAATGGACTTGCCCTTTGGGGGCAAAGTTATTGTGATGAAAAGTTTGTCCTTCAAAGATTAGGGAGCTCTGTGTGCATAGGCAAAATGAAGAGCTTGCCTTATTCTTAGGCAAAGAAAAGAGCATTCACAGCATTTGGCATATGCATAGTGATAAACAAGCCATCCTCATTATGCTCAAGTCATACTGTAACCTTCTAAATTAATCACTAGTTCTGTTCCAAAAAAGTCTTCCTTATTTTTCTCAGTGTGAAAACTGAATCGACTCCCATTCCGCTCTATACTAAAGACACTACTTTTGAAAAAAATGTTCAAAGGATGAGAACATTTCAATGATGGGTGGAATCTAACATTGTTGCCCTTCAAGGTGGCTCAAAACCGTGCTTGAGTATGTGACTATTACATACGTAGGTGGGAAGTAAGTATAGCTCTCTGTGTTAGAGAGTCTAGCTATGGAATTAAAGCCTGGGGAATCAAAGATCCTTTGTGTCTGCTGGAAGGGGGCAGTTTAGACCACCCAGACATTGTATTACTGATGGACCGATGTATCTTCTAACTTGTACAGCCTTGGGGAATTTGTACAGTCTCAAACCTGTACCAGAAGGAGGGAATAGTAAACCCCACTTCTGAATATTCTATATCTAGAAGCTCCTATGAGGATTGCCGTAAGTCAGAATAGACTTGATGGCATATTATTAATATTAGGGATGTAAGCACTTACTGATCTCATCTTCACAGGTGAGGACAAGAAAATTAAATATTCTTTCCTTGGTGCTAAAAAAAATGTGTTCCGTTTTCAGGGGCCTAGATTCAGTCCAGCATTTGTGAGAGCAATTTCTTCCCACCAAATTGAGTTGCGGAATTTAGTCCAGTCTACATGGAAGCACACACCTCCACAGCAAGTACAGAAGGACTGGCTGTTAAAAAGAAGGCAGAAAACCAATCTGCCACTTGAAATGTTTTAGCATTCATGAAAACATCCTTTCCCTTTAGAATCTCCGTCTCATGAGAAAACGTTTGTGTTGCGCAGTCTTTCTGGGAACTTTTACTTCTTTGTGGAAGAGACCTCTTTATTCCCACCTAATTTTCAGTTGCCTTTAAAATGTCTCTAGGTGGTTCATTTATTTATTTTATTTAAAGAAAGACATTTTGTACTACTTTTCAAGTGACAAGCTGTTTGAATTCATCACTGTGAACTGGCTTAGGGTGCTCTGTATGAGGTTTGGGTCTTTCTGTTATGCATCTCTTCACCCCTCTGCAACCTCTCTTTTATTTTGGAAACTGGATGACAAATTTTGGAACAGCAGTATTTATCACCAAAAATGCTGGAGCAACAAGCTTCACAAGCTTTTCTCTCGCAGAAGATTTTTTAAGCCAGATATTGTTGTTGTCGGTTAGTCGTTAAGTTGTGTCCGACTCTTCGTGACCCCATGGACCAGAGCATGCCAGGCCCTCCTATATTAGACTGCCTCCTGGAGTTTGGTCAAATTCATGTTGGTAGCAATCCATGAAGCCAGATATTAGCATTTTGATATGGTCATTTAGAAATTTCCCTGCAGGGTTTTGGAAATAATAATTTTTCACAGCCATAGGATTTTTGCAGTTAGGGATGTACAACTATATGTTATTTCCACAAGCAAAATGGAAGTGCTTTTTTGGTGCAAGGTTTCATTGTGTCAGCAATTGCTTTGAAAAGGATCTGTAATGATGTAGACTTTCCACCTGATCTTGCATTTCAAAATTATTCTTTTTTTTCTTCGTATGTGCTATTTCATCATAGAGCTACAGAGCTGTCATTGCTGCCATATGTACTGTAGGCTCTTCATTTGAAGTAATACTCCAGAGCAACTGCATAAAATGGCCTCACATTTTTGGGAGTGGCTTGATGTGTCAGAGGCCATATGGATGAGGATGGATGCAGATTTAGTGCAGTTTTTTTCATGGAAGTGATCCAACGGTGGAACCACCATCTATACAAGACTAGGGAGAGCCACAGAGGTTGCTCGCTGCTGGTGCACATTGCTGTAAGAGATTATTGTTTCTCAGCTTGACCCACAACAGCTTACGCCTTTCTAGTTATCAATTTCCTGTTGCTCTGGCTTGTACCTCTAGTACCACCTCCATAGTAGGATAAATAATATTTCATTAGCAAAATTTGATTTGACACGTTCCACTCTGAAACCCCCTTAAAGGCTGAAGAACATGACCACAGTCCAGCATTTCCACTTGTAGGCAGTGCAGGGCACAGAGGAGAAATGGGGTAGAAGAGGAGGAATAAAAGAGCCACTTAAAGTTTGGAAACTGTGTTTAGTCCAGATGGGATTACTTGTCCATCTCTGCCAGTATTATATGGGAATCTCAATCGGAGGATCTCAATCAGAGGTCTTCCATAGTAATTGTTGCCTTGATATTTTAATGAGCTATCAGATATTATATTGCATAGAAACTATCTGCTGTACCCTTGCCCTGTTCACAGTTATGACCAACCCTACCATTAGGAAGAATGAGGTAGCTGTCTCAGGTGGTGGATGCTGGGGAATGGCTGGCAGCTCCATATCATTTTCCTTCTCCATATGGGGTAGCCTGTCATCCTTAGACATGGTGATGTGCCAATCTAGTCAGATCCTATGCACAGAACAAGGGTGCTATCTTGCCGTTTGTCTCAGGACCTGTCCACACTGGCACATAGATATGGTATATGGATTGCTTATGGTATGGATCAGAAAAAAAGACCCCATCCACAAGTGTTTCTACTTAGAATGATCTATCCTTCCCCTTTAAGAAGCTGTTGTGCACCTTGCCTCAGCTTCCAGCTGCCATTGTGGCTGCAGATTCTGAGGGAGAGGGAGACAGAAAATGCAAGGAGAAGAAGGGAAGGGAAGCAGGGACAGAGAAGGGAGAAAACGAATGGCACCAAAAATGGGATATAGGAGCAATGTAAAAAAATGATTTAACTTTCCCTGACCCTTCACAGGATCAGGGGAAGCACTTAATTGATGGCTGATCGAATTACAATGGGCCTTTAGCTGTTCAGACAGGAGGAGCATGCCAAATGGCCAATCACTCATTCCCCCTACCAACCTCAACAGACCCTTTGTAGCCTGACCCACTCCACACCCCAAATGGCCAGTCTAGACCGGCCCACAGTGCACATTGTTTTGGAATGGTTCTGGGTCTTCTCCCTCATCTAATGACTGCAAATCCTTCATCTCCTCCCTTTTTGCTCCCCCTCTTCCCTGTTGCCTGTCATCTCTACATTGACATTGGCTTTTATTTGTTTCCATCACCATAGTGTTTCCTATTGACCCTATGAATCATTTTTTAAAATATTGTTACAGTTTATCGTTCCAGTTCTCCTACAAAAGTAGTTAATTAGTTTTGTTAAAAATATTTTCTCATTTTTGAAAACTAACTTCTAGTTACTTCTTTTAAAAACCGTATCTGAAAATTGTAAACTGCATACAATCTCCTCCCATCCACCTCCTCACTACCTTGACACACACAATAAAGCATGTAACAACAGTACCTACCAGCATTTATTTATTTATTTATTTATTTATTTATTTATTCCATTTATACCTCGCCTATCTGGTCATTGCGGCTACTCTGGGCAGCTATATTTGAACAATATATTTCTCCTCTACCATTTTATGAGCCCACACACCCCATAATTTTCAAAGAAAGGAAAGAGATCGCAGTAACACTGCAAAAGGTGAAGCTATTCGTTGTTACGCTACAGTTGGAATGTACTGTATTTATCCCTTTGCTGTTAGAAAAATAATTAATGACAAATAACTAGTTATTGCTAATGTTGTGAGCTTTATTTAGTTACAAGTCTGATTTTGCCTGAATCATTTTATGTTTTGCTTCCTGATTAAAATGGAAAAAAATTAAGGTTCACTGG